TTTTAAGGTAGGTACGGTACGGTCATCTATTGAAATAAGCATATGGCATTGAATAAAGCAATAAATAATAATTAAATGTGCTGCAATTAATATTGATTTACATTGTTCATTGGTAATATTTACAAATCTTTAAATAGCCATTAGAGTATTACGTAAAGAATCGGTTCTTCCATGGAAACCGGTTTCAGTAATTAGACAGGCCACCAAAATAATCGAGTGAATCAGCTTTGGGGCCATCCATAAATTACGTCACAACTTAAGGGGGAGGGAGGGGGTCGACGAAGTGTGACATTGTGTGACAAGGGGGAGGGAGGGATCCAAAACTTTGTGATGTCACATTTCAAAAACTAATAGTTAATCTGTGTTAAAATACGAAACATAAAATAATGTATTAATGTTTTTTATTAAGTTAATTGTTTGATTTGACATTAATATTTTTTTAAAGTAATTTAAGTGAAAAAACAATAGTTTCTATACTGTAATTCTGCAAATTGTGACGTCACACTAGGGATGACCCCTTTCCTCAATGATACAATACATTGTTTGATTGTTGTATCTGTTTGTGTGCCGTACCTTAGACTAGAGTTCTTTATGTATGCATGATTTTAGTCTCAGGAAGGAAAATATCGAACAAAGGTACATACTTAGTTCCAATTTATTTGTAGGCTTAGTACCTAGACAATCAATAGTAACAAATTGAAAAACAATGCATGTTTCTTTCATGAATCAATGAATGAATTAAAATTAATAGTGGTTTCTATTACAATAATGAATGTACCCACAGGTTTACCGTTGACTAGAATGGGGAAAATCATTATCATACCGACCTTCATGGTGACCAATACAAAGTTGATACATTAATTCCAGGATCAGAAAACAATAGATCAACAAGTTTGAGTACCTATATTTTTTTTACACTAACCAATTACCAAAAAAAAATTCCTTCATTTTGTAATTAGATAATGAAATAACTACCAACATATATTTTACTCATTATGTGATGATTAAGTTAGCATCTAACTAGTTTCTGTGGTAACAAAATTAAGTTGCATCGACGTTGTGCATCACGTCCTAATTAGATTACTTATTAAGTAGTCCATTAAGGTTAAAAGCCATATAGGTACCTAACTTATATGCATATCTGTACTTCACCCAGTACTTTATAGGTACTTCTTATAGCTTTTTAAGGGTGGAAACCAATAACTTCTCCCGCCTGACTGTGGCGAAAGGGAGTGTCTGACTCTTACTGACTAAAAACTCGTTCCTACTTCTGCCCTTCAAGCCGGAGTTCCGACGACCCGTGAAGTCCTCCGCGGCTCCGTATCCGCATCAGCCCTACTAGGCCTCATCGGTGGTGGTCTGATGGCTCTTTGGCCATTGGAGGATCATCTGGCCAGACTAGCCTGACGATAGCTCGTCAGTATAGTAATTGTACTATGTACGTAAGTAGATGCTTAACACCTTATACGCCATGGAAACAACATATAGTCCACAATAGTCCGCTATTGTGGACTATATGTGAAACAGTTTCCTGTTGGAAGTCAAAGGCTTCCTATAAAAAGTGAACTTACCTGTAAGCAAAATCTCGCCCATACATCGGATATGGGGTTGCTGCCCTGGTACGTTGGTCTTAGCGCCGGGTTGGGTGGCGCTGGCGTCCTCTCATTGTACGGAATTGCTGTGAAACTCTCCAGCGCGTGGCAGAATATGTCGAAGCCTGAGTAATTGGATACCTAAGAAAAATAGTGATGTGAGCAATGAGCAGTGGGTGTAACTTCTAGTTGTCATCCCCACTATGCTATTAATTCTTTTAAACTATGAAATCTGTATTTTTACACAGAATTAAGAAATCAAAAAATCCCAACAGTATTATGAAGATTTTAAGACTCAAAACTCAGGAAGACAGACGTTGTAATTAGTTTATCAATGGCTGTGTAAAACTAGATAGACTGTCACCATTTAATTTTCATTTTGTTAGAGGCAATCATTTCTCAAATTATTTACCTTCTCCGGCATGGTAAGGGTGTGGAGCGGATCGATCATGGCAAGCACAGGTCGCAGAGCGCCGTGTGATATACCAGTCTTGGCGTGTATAGACTCGTAGTCGAAGATACTGACGCCAGTAGTCTCACTGCCTGTACCACTAGTTGTTGGAACTAAGAACAATAAACATAGTTTTAACACTACAAAAATCTCCTTACATTGTATGGCAAGAATATAATATTTTGTGTATAACTTCTAGTATCTTATTATCAATTTTACCGCCAATAACAAATTAAAAGTATGACTACTAGATGGCGTTGTCACAAATAACTCTCAGGCCATAAAATGATCAAATGAATACTATACACAAAACCTTCATTAAGGCAATGACGAACTTTATTTTTAGACTTAAGTAACACTTTACTATGTGCTAATTTCATATCTTTTTTTATGGGATAAGCCAGTAGACGAGCAGACGGATCACCTGATGATAAGCAATCGGCGTCGCCCATGGACACCTGGCACACAAAAGGCGTTACGAGTGCGTTACCAGCCTTTTGGGATTAGGAATTCGAGGATTGTTGAGATTCAGAGATGTGTGAAGTGGGGGTGGGGGTAATTGGGCCTCCGGTCCTATTGTCTATAGTATAAAAGTTCTATATTATGTATTTCAGATACTTACTAGCAATCATAGGCTTCAAATGAATATTGATAGGTTTGCCTTTGCCCACAGGAGCATTCACATAGTCCAGGAAATCTGCATCAGGGTCAGAAGAGTACAGATTGGCTGCTTTACATGTGTCCATTACAGAACCACCTCCAACCGCCACAAAACTATCGAAGCTGTTCTCCTTAGCAAATGCTATTGCATCTTTGAAACTGTGGAGAAATCATTAAGTCCCTTATACCTGCCTACTGCTACAATTAACTGGTGTATGAATCAATGTAAGGGTATAACTTATATTTCAGTTTTTTTATACCAAAGTGTATGAGTTTTATTTCAGTTTAGTTTGCAAACCACATTATGTCATCTCATATACACTTCTCTGTTTATGATCTATTTATTAACATTGAATAGTAAGTAAAATAGTAATTATTATGTAGTAGCGTATCTTTTTGGAGCTTATTACTTCTTTTTAAGATACACATTCAAACTAACCTCGTGTCTGTAGGCTCTACTCGGACCTTGTCATACACTTTATAATTGACTCTGTTTCTTGTAAGTGAGTCTAGAGTAGCCTTCACAGGATCCAATTTGACAACATTAGGGTCTGTCATAACACAGACGTTTTTTGCGTTCATGTTAACCAGGTCCTGGCCAACCTCCCGAGTCACTCCCAATCCATATCTTACAGTCGAGCATTTTATCTGAAATTTTATTTTAGTATTTGGTTTCTAACCAAGTTACGGAATAGGTATACCTATACTTACACAAATTGACGTAATGGAAAAGACTCAGTTTCGTTAAAGGGCAAAGTTCATACAAAGTTGTCAATAAATCATTTGGGAAGATAAGAAAAGATTAAAGTAGCATCAAATATTTACCCACAGCAATTTAATAACAAATTTTTAGTACAAAATAAAGGAAAAACTGCAAATTCAAAGTAAACTTACTTCAAAAGCATAGTCTTTTTGTGGAGTAGCATTCGACACTTGAATGTTGCCGCGATTAACATGAGCTGGACATTGACATCTACAAGAAAAAATAATAACCGTAAATAATAAGGTCACCAATCCAATCAACCTTCATGTTCATAAACACAAATATAACTTTTTTATTCATACACTTACGACGCAACGTTGATTGTTCGAAGTAAATCAAACACTCTTTTACGATTACCCATTCTGTACAAGGCAGCGTATCTACTTTACAACTGGATAAAAAAGCACTAAATACTGTTGTACAAAAATTTATCTCAGACCTTATCACATGAAAACAAACGTGTTTTCGTTCAACTGACAAGATTATCTATTTATATTTTTAAGCGAATCTTGATTGTCAACCTTGTAACCACCTTATAACATTCTGTTGATGTTTTCATTTGGACTATTTTAGGGCTATCATTTGTTTTAACCTCATACTTGCGTAACTTGAGATTATTTGGTTGATAAAATTAATAATATTATTGTAAAAATAAATACGAGATAATAAGATTGTATTTCCCGCGAAAGCATAGTTTTTTACGTCAAATCAAGTCAGAATTCAATGTCAATAATATGCTGTCACTGTCAACTGTCATTCATTCAACAACATTCGTTCGGAAATTGTAAACAGGCGTTTTGTTCGATCAACTCTCAACAATAATATTATTATAGTTTAAAATCAATCAGGATTGGTAATATGGGGTGAGCCTATTGCCATATACCGGGTACGATTCCAGACTCTGTGCTACTACTGGGATTTTTTTAAAAACCCATTAATACTTTGCCCAAACCGGGAATCGAACCCGACTTAACCCGAGACCCCTTGTACTTGCGACCACTTGGCCAACGATGCAGTCAAAAGGAATATGTCCTTCGTGTCAATGTCTTTGTTCTGCATGTAACTATATAGTAGCCAGGTGCCAGAGTCGTTATTTCAAGAGACTGTCCGCCTTTATCGTCTTTGGGTATCACTAATAATTATCCCGTACAATAATAATGGTACTCCGAGTAAATTCAACATGAAGGATAATAATATATTTCTGTATTGAGCTTTCAAGACGAATCCTAAAATTATGAGAACTAGTCAACAAACTTGCAGTTGTTTTACTGATCATGACCACCATTTGCACTAAGCAGTTTTTTTTATAATAATTTTACGATGCAATAATGTGGATAAGATTATATTAAAACTCATTTAGCCTTTCATGTGTCTAAACGTGGATCTACGCGAGACACATTGTATTTTCTATTGTCTCATATCGGTGCATTCAAGCAGTTAAATATAAAAACTAACACCTTACATGCATATAAAAAAACTAGCACGCAATTTAAGAGTACCTTTAACGCAGAGGGTGAATTAAATGAAAATCAAATTAGACATCGAAGTGATGTATTAATAAATTCATACAGATTTCGTTCACATAATACACAATAGAAAAAACTATCTCAACTACAACTCCATAAAGAATAAAACATCTTACACGCTATTAGCATCATTTGGTTACATAACTTTCAATAAGTAACATACTGACAGGCTAAAATGGCATTAAAATATCTCATCACAATTAGATTTCACAATATATTATTAAATAAATACAATTTATAATATGTATGATGAAAGAACATAAAACAGGTTTCAGCATTTTACTTAAAATAATATCTCGAAATAATTATATAACTTATATTTTTTACATTTACGAACTAATAGGTAAAATATCTATTTACACGACTGCAGTGTTGCTATACTACATGCGAAATTATTTCATGGCAACGATAATAATCATCACATTTTTGCAATATCTCTTCATAAGAAAAAATCTTGGTACATACAATGTGGAACTGTGCACGCAAATATGAATGATCATAAAATGATATACATTTCTAAAATTATTGCTATTATATGGGTAATCAAATGAACGAGTAGTCCACTCACTTTCAGTTAATACTAATGTATGGCAACGCGCGCGGTATGTAGGTAACTATATCGAATAATAGGTATTAGCAGTGTCACTATTACTACCTATGATTACAAGTGATCATTTGAGAACTTAATATACAGAAAAACTACAATTATAAATATGGGAATGTGTAGTTGTGAATACACGGTATCAGCTCAAACACAACATAGAGGAAATTATGATAATATTATTAAATTACAGTTCCTTACATTATTCTTTCGTCGTCTTACAAACGCGAATATCTATTGCTATTATTACAATACTTCGTCTATTAAATCTGTGGAAATTGTTAAAATTTAACATGTAACAACAATTTTCAGTGTTCATCGTCACTTGAGAGACCATAGGCGCACATTATCGACGTACAGCAACTATAAAGAATTTCTTTGGTCCATATTGAATAACTGGTAGCAGATGAATAAGCTTAAAATACCGAATGAGTCGTTTGATTATCAAACGTATATACAAGTATAGTATAAATAAATTTTCCGGCCTATAGTCTCGCAGTAAGAACACGATCTATAGACAGCATGCACCAACAATCTAAGACACCTCAATATCATCTACTAGAACAAACTATACAACAAACAGTCACTGGTCCGAAGGTTTGTCGGTGAAATATACCTATCTTTCACTACTCATCACAATTACTTATTTGGCAAATCTAACTGAGCTGTAAACACTATTGCTTCGTTACGCGAGGCGAAATGCTGGAGTTACGAAACTAACATGTTACATACACCCTACAATCAAGAGCTAAGTCGTTTTGTACACTATGATTGTAAAGCTACTTGGGCTCGATATTGTCAATATTAACAAATATATGACATAACATTGAAAAGACTTTACGATTTTCCTTTAAAGACAATAATAAATCTGCTTTAACTAATACTAAGTGACACCAATTCTAACACGCGATCGATAATGTTATAAGCTAGAATATCACATTAAGATGAAACTAAGCGACTCCACGATGCAGAGAAATTAATTTAATAATTCCATATTGCTCACGCGCAGTCGTTTGATATTTATATTGTGATCTAGAAACTAACTTTGTACACTAAAATTCTACAAGAACAGGTAGAATTATTCAATGTACAACATCATTTTTTTTTTAAGAAAAATTTCAGAATTCATCGTTACAAAATAGTGAGCAGTTATTCTTAGATTCTTTACAAACATGTCATACTAATCACTGATTTAGAAGTTACAAAACTATAGACAATATGTCAATCTGCACTACAGGTTTCTTTTAAATAAAGAAGGTTAATCAATGGTAAGTAAAAAATCCGCGTCAGGACGGACGATCTGCTGGCAAACTTACAGGTATTGGTGTTATAAATTCGTAGCGACGCCGACGCTAAAGCAATAACTACCACGTATCTATTATAAGTTTTCCTTATGTGTAAAGAATGTTTCAACCTATCATGAGTAATTAGTAATTGAGACAAAAAACTAGCGTAACATTTAATTGTGACAATATCCAACGACCACTGTCCAAATGTGGAATGGTTAAAATATTGAGTATGAAAATCGTGTATATTAACAGTGTAATACATGTTTAACAGTAGTATACAGTACTGAACAACCTAGTGATGGTAATGTAGAACAGTGCTATAGTAAACAACTTCAACGTAACTATTTCATATCATTATGTGTGGTTATGCCGGCTGTAGAACTGTGTAAAATACTAGAATAAATAAGCTCGTAGCTATACAAACAAAATCAAGCCTTAGGCCAGATACCCAAAGTAAAGTATTCATAGTTGAAATTCGTAACACTTCCAGGATCGCTTCACGCTGGTGTTTTTTAATAATTTTGAACACAATAATCCTTCAGTCAGACTCATCTATACAACCCAGCTCTATGACCAATTTTTGGTTTACATTTATTATTAAAAAGACGAATATACAATACAATAAGAATTTAATATGCCCGTTAATTATACGGAGCACAATAGACATGTGAATACAATCCCCATACTGACTGGAACATTTGAACTTGTCAGTTTATGGCGTTGGGTTCAGCTCTAAGCAGGAATACAATGTCAAGCTTGCATTGCTGCGACTGCTGACCTATAAACGTGGTTACTACCGATATTGATTTAACACAGGTTTTCTACGAACATTGGTATTGACCTACGTTCCATGGCTGCCAATTGTTGCCTCTCTATCATCCTTAGTCAGGTAGCATGTGCACGAAAGAGACGGGGAACATGCCCCGTCGGCTAGTGCCTTCGACCTGGCCCTCCATCCAGTTGTCATCCTCTGTGCGTTCGTTTATTACAACTATGACTTCTCCCTCGCGGAATGACAACTCGTCTTCGTTGTCTGCTGAGCAATCATACAGTGCGCGGCACCGCCTCAAACCACCCATCTGAAAAATGTAATAGTTTTATATATAGAACTTTACTTAGATATTAGGTTAACACGCCTTAAATTAACTCTGGAGTGACAAATATTACTGGTTGCTCAACCCACCATTGTAATAGAAGCAGATGGCGATCGTGAGTGTACACTGGAAGTATCAGAGACGTCGAGCGAGCGACTGTCGCTCCGCCGCGATCGTTCGCGCGACCGCGAGCTGTCGCACGACAGAGCCGACTGCAAGCGACTGTCGTCCAAACACGAGTCATTCATATCACACAACTCCAACGACGAGTCTTGACTAGAACATTCCTGAAAAATAGACCGTATGTATTAGTACATAGAATATCAATTTGAAAAACAAATACCAGTTAAGCTGTTTAAGGCCTAAATGTTTTAATAATGAAGTAGTGCTCCAAGATTTCACGGTGCTCCGAAATAAAAGTTATACATTTTTAAAAGATTAGGACGATAAATTGGACTTTTCATTCAGGTAAAATAACAATTACTTCATTTTATTTTATCGCAATGTTATTATCATACATGCAAAATAATTTGAAAGGTTAATTTATTCACACTTTATGAGAAGGTCAACCAAATATTTATGTAAGTAAAGTAGTATTTGAGATTGAAACATATTTGAAGAATAGGTGATGTTAAATGCGTCTCATTTTGATTAGCTCATAAGTAAACATCTACTTATAGTTAGGCATCTATGTTTTCTATGGAAGTAGGATCTAGAAAAAAACAAAGTGGCTTGTTTATTAAAATACAAGAAAGCCGAAAGCTGTTAGATAAACAACATGCAGTGAGGATTAAATTAAATATCCATAAAGTACACATAAATTAGTGTCTAATGCATAGTTTATGGTGTAGGTAGATGTAGGGGCCAATTGTCAAGAGTATCGTATTGCCAAATGTATAGAGATTCCTCCATTAGCCAACAGGGAGGAATCCAAGCCACACAAATAACATGAATCGGCTATTTCAAGCTGTTATGGATAAACCTTTGACATAAAAGCCAAAATAGCGTGCGAAATTTTGTGGTTAGCTCCGATATAACGTGGATATTCATTGTTATTCGTGGTTAAGTAATTTCAGATTTTGCCGGCGTTCTCTTGACAATAAAATTATAATTAAAACAATATTATTAATGACAAAGGGCGTAAATCAAACAAGGGTAAGCGAGTAAGTACACTAAGTTCGTTTGTCTGACGTTCGTTACCCTTTTCAGTTTCGCTTTCACAGCCTTTTCCAGGTGCAATCTATTTTTCTTCTGTAGCAAAAACAAATATAACCCTGTACTAGTTTCAAAATTATGTTAGTAGCTATTATTCATTTCATTTGTTTTATTAAGAATTTCACCTTCGCATTAATATTTATTTATTAGTAGCTACCAATGTATTTACATGGTTTTATGCCCAAAGAATGCATACCAATATATTTAATGATGTAATCCATATGCGCAAAAATATGATTTACAATTTAACTAACTCCTTGATTTTATCAATAATAAAGGATTAAGATAAGACTATTAGTCGATGATCCTTTCCACGAAGTTTGTAGGTAGTCAGAACTTATAAATTATTATGTTTTCGGCTTATTCACGTAATTATTTGACGAGGAACTCGAATAGTTCAAGCCGTGCTAGAGGCTCATATTCATAATAATTTATTTAGTATGTCTCACGAAACAGCCAGAACTTATATTTTGTAAAAAAAATTATAACCATATTGTATCATTCTATTACAAACATGTATGAAATTTTGATTACCTACAAAACCTCACATATTACAAAACAATGTTTCCCATTTCCAAAATACATGTAAAATAAATGATGGTTTTGTTATTACAGTGGTATATATAGATATACCTTGCGCGGTGGCGGTGTAGGTTCGTCTCGATGGTGCGCGCCGTTGTGCAGGGCGGGCGGCGGCGTCGGCGGCGTCGGCGGGGGCTGCGCCGGGCGGACCTTCACTACGCCGCCTGTAACTGGTATGGGGGAATATTGTGAATAAGTAACGTTGGGTATAATGCAACGTGGGCAAGTATATCGTGTTTACAATGGAATTATGTACATTATGAATATCTATAATATAATAATATGTATTAAAGAATCCAAGACTATAAACAATAAAATTCGAAAACCTTCACGTTTATAAATGAAAAATTTATGATTAATGTAACGGGGACTACTGTTTTTTTGGCTCACCACATGGCGCAAATCTAGTAACAGGCATTTTGTCCAATCACTGTAGCTGTCAACAATTGAAGGACCAATGGTCTAACACTAGCTAATTCCGTATTGAACAAAAGGACAACGTTCACACCAGCTACATAACATAACGTCACGCCTTTTATCCCCGGAACTGTACAATGTAACAACTCACTTTTCACTATTTATGTTACGAGAGAGTGAGTTATATATAATAGGGGGTGAGCCTATTGTCATATACCGGACACAATTGCAGGGTCCGTGCTACTACTGAGAATTTTTATAAACCCATTAATACTTTGCCTGACCCGGGAATCAAACCCGAGACCCCTTGCCCGGCAGTCGCGACCACTCGGCCAACGAGGCAGTCCATCTAATGAGCAATAAAACAGATAGCCCCCATTTTGTAAGTGCATATGGATGTCTATGTATTTATTTCAGCTGCTTTAAAGTACTGTTTAAAAAGTAAAGTATGAAAATGCATGACCATAAACCATTAAACATGTAAGACATTAAACATATAAGACAGACAAGATAAATGGTACAAATTTTCCAACTGAGGTTGTTGTTGAGTAAGACAAAAATTACACGTTTATTTTCATATAGGTAGCTTACACTTTTAGACAAACTTTTTTGTTTATTTTGGATGGAATTGGAACGGATTAAGCAATCCAGGTAACCTTTTCTAAGGTAGTTGTTAGGAAGAACTTGATTGAAACCTATTATGGATGGATAGATGATTAAACTTGTTTTAATAAATAAATAGTTAAAAACATTATGTTCTTAGTTACTGCTTCGATAATAAAATTACACGAAGCTATAATCAGCTTTATTCCCGTAAATAAATCATTTTATCGTGAAATGTACTAAACCTGGGGATCAATAAGCATTTGGATAAGATAAGATATCAATGTAATCAATAAGTAGACATGCAAGTTCAAGATTACTTCTGATAAGTGTATTTTAGGACGAATGCACTATATTTTTAATTTTTGTTTAATTCGTACATTCATTTAATCAGGTTTTTGCTTTCGTAGTGAGTCATCATTATGAACTATTTTATTTCTTGTCTCATTATGATACAAATTACAGAGCAACATTTACGGCAATCGTAGACAGTTGGCTGCAAGTTTGCAAGAGAACAATTTTTCCAATCATTGTAGTCGTCAAAAATTTAACATTCAGTGTTGTGGCACTATCTAATTCTCTATTGGACGCAAAAACGCACACACTAGAGTCATATGGTGGGCAAAAAAATGGTAACGTGACTATATATTTTAGTTTAATTACCGTGCAGAGACCGCGCGTTGTCCGCGGAGGGCGAGGGCGAGGCGCGCGGTGCCTGCGGCGGCGCTACCAGCGACACCCCCGGGGGCAGCGGGGCCGCGCGCTTCTTCAGGCTGCCCATGTTGTCTAATGGGAGAGGGGTTTTATTACTAAATTGCTTTAGTTAAATACTGATCTTTTAAAAATTAACAATCTTAGACTTCGTTAGACCTGACCATTCATTAGAACTGTGGAAAAACAGACAGCAATAAGTTTGAACTTTCGATTACTTAATTGCAATATCGAATCTATTTGTCTAGGGAGGGGATTATAGAAAACCATCCCATAAAATAGAAGTCTTTATTCAACAGTGGGAGTTTTAAGGCTGATGATGATGAGATTTCACTAACAATTTTCTAAACCTTAGAACAAAACGTTACACAGACAGTCGTTGCTAAAGATACTCACAGACGTTAGGTTTCCTAGGTAGTGTGGTGGGTGTGGGCGGCGCATGATGCAGCGAGTCACACGTGGAGGACCGCGAGCGGAGGACGGGGGAGTCCCCCGCCGCCGGGCAGCGCTCCGCCGTCGTCAGTACCGCGCCGCCTGCGTATGATGGAGGACGAGATCGCGGACACTTCTTCTCCGGAGTTAAACTGCCATTTTGCTGTAAATTAATATGAAGAATTATTTATACATTTATTTTTGTGCAATGTATGTTCTCTACGATTATACATCGTAATTGCTGCGTATATTATGGCTCTTTAAAACTTACTCTCTCATCAATAACAGTGTCGTCGTCAGAAAAGTCTGTTGAGCCATCATCATGTGATAAGTTCCAGTCTATGTTGATATTCTCAAATATGCTCTTCTCTCGTTTATCCACATTCTCCAGCTGGAAATAATAATTCAAACAATAAGACACAATGTATAAAATTTTAGGCGTAAAAGAAAGATAACATTGAACACTGCGGAAACCATGCATACCAATTCTAAACATCCCAAGTGTCCATATTGCCTCGCTATCTGCAAGGCGGTCCTGCCGGTAGCGTCCTTGATAGTGGAGTCAGCCCCAGCCTTGAGCAATAACTTCATAGGTTCAGTTCTGTCGGTGGCGGCGCATAAATGTAACGCGGTCATACCCTGAGAGTTGGGCTTGTCTAGCAGTTGCGAGCCACCGTTTTGGACTAGAAAATCGACTATATGTAAAGAAGATCCATCGCCAATCTCACGCGATATCGCCAAGTGGAGTGATGTTTCGCCGAGATCCTGAAAGTAGACAATATCGATTGTTTTTGTTAACCATTACTCTTTATAAGATTTGTAACTATACCTACTTGGTTTAGTTTTACTGAAGTTGCGGAATCTCATAAAGTAGTTGCGCAAATTGCGCGATAATGAAGTTTAGTTTCGCAACATACATTAAGGTCATTTTTTGTATTTACCGAGCCAGGCAGTGGTGCAGCTAGGTCGGCTCCCTCAGCGTACGCCTGCAGTAAGTTCTGCAAGTGTCCGTTATTGACGGCGTGCTCCACCTCCGACAGTCGCTCGGCCGCGTCGCAACATGTCTGAGCCGCAAACGCTCGGTATACGTACTTCTCGCGGATAAACCTTAGTCGCTCCTCCCTGGAAATTTATTAAGAGAAACTTTAAAAAATACTGGTCGTGCCTATAACATAACTAGACGATAATGTTTCATAGTTGTAAAAATTTCAACTAAAAGTCTAAAAGAATCAGAAGATATCTTACATGGAACTTTCAGGTGTAAGTTTATCCCGTTCATCGAGCGTGTTCTCCATAATCTCATTGAACATCTGGTTCCCCATGTGCCTCGCAAGCAACAGTTGTGACGTGCTGAGTCTGTCCAGTGTCAGAGACTGGATGCGCGATATATGCACGCCCAACTCACGGTGACTGCCCGAACACTCTATGCATACTATTACACCGAAGTTTGTTGATAACCACGTCGGATCTAGAAAAATAGGAAATCAAAATATGAGAAGAAACGAATTATCGGAAACTCTTCCCTAATTTATTTGTAAGCCATATTGAGCTTTAAAAGTGTATGGTGGACAATGTTTTATCAAAATAAATGTGAAGGTCACACAAGAGGGAAATACTCTTCCTATCAAATGTCGATTTGAACAAAGTTATCATAATACAAATGTATTCAAGGACATACCTAAAATAAAAGAATTATTTTTAAATATATTTAAAAACTGGAGTGAATCATCATTGTGATATTTACGAATAAGCTTTTTAATTATACAACCTTCAACTTGATTCTCAGAATTACTGAAAGTCAACAAGGGGTTGGTGTGAGATATCATGATGATGATTAATGAATAGTGAGTAAACGTTGGTTAAATTATTGTTAGTTTCAGATAAAACGTACCATTAGTAGAGCCACAATCCGCGCACACTTGGTTGCCGGGCATGGCCCTGACGGCCCGGATGATGGAGCGCTGCAGGTCCAGCAGCGAGTGTCCGGAGTCATTGGTCTCGCCGGCCTGCTGGTGGAAGGCCCTCATTAGAGCTCCCTCCTTACAGTTTACCAGCACTGACGTCCACGCTCGCTGCTCATTCTCGTCGTCAGCTTGGAAGTGGTACGTTCTGTTATCTGAAGAAAGTCAGACAGTTACATTAGGTAACGCCATGGGTAAAGCAAATGCTATTAGTTAATAATTGAGGATTTTATTTATAGCCTCCAGTTACGAGTTCGTAATTGGATCAGATGCTGTAATATATTATGAAATAAAAGTTATCTAACTCGTAAAAGTTATTCCCGCATGGAATCGGGATCTCAACTTCTGTTAACTGCACAAGTTTCTAACTAGCTCGATCAAATAAGTTAATCTTGGAAGCACAACTACCAAGTATGAGCAATTATTTATACTCACATGAGACTAGATCAAACGCCCTTTTGTCTTCTGCTGCTACTTTAATTTGGCATGTGAGGAGGTTGACCCTCGCCGGAGTTTTGTTCTCGTCTGCGTGGAAGATATCCAGGAAACCTTCCGCAGTGACTCGACACCGGCGTTTCTGCCAAACGCGGCGCACCTTGCCTTCAGACTTCTTGAGCAGGTAGCCACTGCGGCTGACTCCATGCTGCTTGTCACCTTGCATTTGATGCAAAGAGTAACCACCGACAGATGACACCACCTGGAACACGGACATACTCAAGTTAGATAGAACAGACCACACAACAAGTTATTATACATTTCCAACAAACTAGCCGTCTTTAAGCAAACTCTACAACTGCGCCGAGATTGCAAATATCTGGCAACTCATCGTGAATTTCAAAAGTCACACGAGTAGAAAATAACATTGACAGTAACAGTCATACCTCTCTGTCTTGTGGTGCAGCTGCTCGCAGCATGTTTCTGAGCTCTAATAACCTCCGTCGCTCGTCGTCTTGCTGCTGCCGAATCTTCTGCAGTTGTACACTCAAATCTGCGACGTACACACCAAAGTGCTCGATTGTTTTGAGGCCATCTTGGAAATAATTCGTCTGCGCATGATAGTACTCCACTAAGTGTTGGAGTAGCTCGATCCCCTTCTTCGTTTTTATTTCGTTGAACTTTATCAGGTACTGCAACAACAGTGTTTGTTTAGTTTTCACATTAAGATGTCTCTTGAGCAGGGGCAATCACAACAACGATCAAAAATGGAATGAAGCCAGTTTGTTGGGCAGACGCCGAAAACATCGCGTGGGCACGGGCATGCTTATTACTTCATCAGAGACCGTGTCTAATGGGACGCCAGACAGACACGAGCGGCACCCGGGACTGTGGAAACGCAGCGATATTACTACTACGTGCCCTTCCGCGAGTTAAAATTACACTTGATGACGCACGCGCACGCGCATTCGCGATATAGTGGATCCAGATTTGTCTTACGGAGTTGTGTAATAATAATAAAGCTCAGCCCGCGACCTTGCACAACTGTTGGCAATTTGCCTATTTAACTTAGCATTCAGTTTTGTTTAAGTTACAGCTTCATAATATTCCTAGAGGGAACTTGGCGGCTTGTAAGGTAAGTTGCTACGCTGGCCACGGTTGTTGCATGTCGTATTGTGGTATTTATTATAGTGTTAAGAGAGGTAAATGCGTGGGATGTGGGCAACATGTTGTGGCCGAGGCGGTATTTGCACCGAGTGGAACAAAGCGAGGGTCAGCGCGTCGTCGTCGGCCCTGCGCGGCGCAAGGCCGGTCGTCGACCTGACGCGCGCCTCCTCGGCTCCTCTGTACCGCACCGACCCAACCACCACAGGGCTTCTAGGTTTCTTTTTTTAGCAACTGACAAAAGAAGTAAGTTACCGTGGCTTTATGAAAGTTTGATCTAACTGCCTCCAAAGAGACTATGGAACTTCTCCGTTCCATTCAATCTAATATCTAAACATATTAGAAAGTAATTTTAACTTTTCGACATTAATATTAAAACCTCATTATTGTTGTGAAACAAGTCAGAAACTTTCGTATTTGTCGAACAGTCAAATATATCAGCACACCGTAGTACCTATCAAGTTTAAAACGGGAACGGAAGTTCATACGGCAGAACATTAGTCCAATGTGATTACTTCGGAAGAACAACAAATAGAGACAAGTAGCTACATGGGTAAAGAACGGGCAGTTAATTGGACAGCCTCGATAAATTAATTGAGACGAACAAAATTGTCTTAAGATTAGATATCTTGCATAAACGTCGGTAGTACATAGGAGTTACATGATACAGCACGTTCAAAGTTCATTGAATGTGCTGAAATTATAGTGGTTAGTTATTCTTCCCCGCGACTTCGTCCGCAGGACAAAGGAAAAGTAACTGGGTGATATGCATAATAAATGTGTGCATCAAGGCAATTTGGAAATTATAACGCATTCTGAAAACATACGTAGTAGCTGCTCAGATTAGAAATGAATAATATTTACTGAAAAGAAAAGTAGAAGTATGCATTTAAGTGTATCATGTTTTAGAAAAGCTACAATTTGCGCAAATATCTTTTGTTAGTTGTTAGTAATAAAACAGTTTATGTTGAGAATCGCCCGGATATATTATGCGGTCGGGGACATGCTTAACTGTACACACCAACTTTACAAATCATTCGTAAATTCTTAGTTTTTCCTCATAACGAATAGATAGCTAGCACAATAGCAAATACGTTTAGGTAATTGGCACATATTGCCTACATAGTTGTATTTGTGTTTGACCAATACAGTGTACCTACTAGAATAAAATATAATATTTTTAATATTCATTACATACTTTTATTATCATCAGCAATTTGAGTACCTACCTAACTACTTATTTAATTGCTTGCCACTTCATACAAAGGATATAGGGTTTATTGATCCAATATTTCCAATACATAATATTATATACCTATAAATATAACATCTTTATACAGGAAAATCGTTTTTTATACACTTGGTGGAGTACCAAAACCACTCCAAAAAGGTTGGGTTGCGTTTCGCAGGTCATTACTCTTGCAGCGTCAAAACCAATGTTATCTGAATGAAAAAAAAAAGTCGATGATACGGAAAATACAGCTTGCAAAACCGAGTATGGTGTTGATAAAAAATGAAAATATTTTGCTTTGAAAGTATAGTATAGTAGTATTGGAATGGAAATTGAAGGTTGATTTTTTAGGCGAACCAGTAAGTGGGATTTAAAAATGAATGGAGGATAAGCCAATTCAGATATTGATCATGAAACAGCTATCTGTATTTTCATTTTAGTTCATTGATCATTGTATAAAATTTATGTTTTTGGAGGTTTCTCCTTCTCAGGATTGACCCGGTGAAAATGGGCAACGCGTCCCGCGACCCGCCGGAAATACGATGCCCATAGCCCCCTTCTAAATTCCAATTCTAAATCTCCTTCTTCCTCTTCTGCTACTGACACTGTCTGTGTGTGGTTCTGAATTGTGTGTGGGTGTAGTTTGTGAAACAAGTGAAACAAGTGGTTGTAATTGATCGGAATCTGGAATGTTTGTGACGAAAACTGTGTCTCCTAATACTTTGCTAAGAATGATTGTTTATCTTATTTTATAGTATTTTACAATAGAGTACCATAATTTTGAAATAATTGCAATTGTTTCGAATGCCCTATTCAGTCTTTGCAATGATGAAGCTCGATTACCAGTCGTGATTTAGCAATCCGCCCGTGAACTTTGTCTGCTGTCATTTGGCAAGTTTGTCACAGCTAAAGATATGTACCGAGACATTTGGCATTGCATTCTGCACCGCAGATAGACGCATATGTTATGCAAGAGACGATTGGCACTGACTTACAGTTTATGACTTAAAAGGGACTAAATCCTGACTAAAGATGCCGAAGAAGATATTTTACTAAATTGTCATAAAAGATTTATAGCGTTTTCAAAGAAGCTGCTAAAAGGACATTCATGACCCTTGTTTATAGGAATGTATCACACAAATTGTTAACATAATTCTTTTATAAACTACGTTTAACTAAACTGACTTCAAACTCCTCTTCATTTGAAGTCAGTCAATTAACCCTAGAAAGATAATCTACGTCTTTGAGACGCATGACCGACACAAATATTGCTATATCTTATTTATTTCGCATCGTAGCGCTCTGTCCTTCTAGGTTATCCCAGTGGCCGGGCAGACCTTACGCGAGACAGCTATCTCGCCCTGGTAAGTACAATAATTACGTAGATACAGGTATGGCGTACGTTCGATAGACGTATGATTATCCTTTGTGTAACTTTTGTACCTCATTCCCTGTAGTAGTAGTTCGTTTTATTTATCATTTTTTTTATATTTTTGGTGATTTTGGTAATCTATTGCAATGGCTGGATGCAGGGCCCTTGATTATAAACAAATTGAAATAATATTGGAGAACAGTGAAGATGAGATTGGTCAGTTGATTGACTATTGAATTGGTTGACGAAGTTCCTGGGTCAACATCGGAGGAATTGCAGGTACCATCATTTCCGTCACGTGTACCCAACCAAGATTCAACTTCAAATTTTTATAACGATTATTATTTCAACTCAACGTATATTGCGCGGGAGAAACAAACATTGGAATTAAGGGTCAAAATAGAAGAAGTACTACAAATATAAACATAGTACGAACTTCTAGAGGGCCTACTCGCACGTGTAAAAATATTTATGAGCCTGCTGTATGCTCTTAATTATTTATAACTGACGAGATTATAATGAAATAGTGCAATGGACCAACGCTGAACTTATGCCACCTTGGGTGGAAAAAAGATCAGAAGCTCCTACTCTTAAAAGACATGGCCGTGTAAATATCCAAGTTGCTGCCGAAAACTAATACTTTAGATGATAATGATGAAGAACCAGGAAACAAAAAGAAGAGATATTGTGCGTATTGTCCGTCAAAAATAAGAAGGATGTCGAAAATTATATGTTATAAATGCAATGAAAGCATTTGTGGTGAACACAAAACTGATATACAATATAAAGGCTGTATCTAAATGTGATCGAAACTTAAAACTTGTTGATTTTTTATATCAAGCTTTTAATTAGTTCTTATTCTATATAATATTAATAAAAAAAGGGTGATTTTAAACTCAAGATTAGCATAATTACTCAACAAAGGAAGACTTGATATTTTTTAGATATTTTGTAAGAGGTTTACATAATTTCTTTACGTTTTTAAATTATATTCATTTTCTTATAGTAATTATGTTTTTATTTGTCGTAGAAACCCTTAAACTAATGATTCAATAACATTTTAAAACGCGGTTTAAAGACACTTGTCCCATATGCACTTATAAATCCGAATACGTCTCAAAGACGTATGATTATCTTTCCCGTAGGTCAAAATAAGATTATCTTTCTAGGGTTAATATACTAAAACCTTCTAAGTGTAACCAACCTTTTTCTGAAAAGAGCATCTAAATTGGTTCAGCCAATCGCAAGATAAATGCGCACAAACATATACATACAGTTCAAACTGTTCAAATTGAGAACGTGCTTTTTTAAAAATCGATTAATAAATAAAAAGTGAAGACGTGAAGCGGTTAGGGACTTTAACATACAAACATCGATAGCGATTATTATTATTACTTAAATAGAAGCGTGGCATTGCAATATTTGCTAATAACAGCATAATATTTTTATCTTATCGCTACAGCTATCATTCATGTATATGCAAACATTACGTTACCGCAAAATTATATTTTCGTTATTCGATATTCGTCGTATTATATTTATTGATTGTAGTATTCAGGTGCAAGGACTGTATAACTAACAACGTTGCAACAAACTTCAAGATAACGATACATATATAATATCTTTGTTACCTTTAGATATTCAAATTCTATTCTGCATAAGTTTTAGAACTGTAATCTTTAATACAAAACTAATGATTAGCATCGGCACCGAACTCTCCAATGAATATATCGTATTGAACAATAGAATCAGAAATTTTGGCAACGCACGTTTAATGTAACTGTTCGCCAGTGTCATTGCCAACGTACATACGACCTTTCGCAGCCACAGGTTATGTGCATAACGGCACTAGTGGAGTCCACAATGACTGCTATTGCTACAGCTATGGTATGGAGGCAGAACGTTACGTAGGTAAATGGCTGTCACGGACAAATATATTGTCACACACGCATTGTTAATTGCATTCTAGGGCAGAAGCCTTGCACATAATGTACGCCTCTGACAGTTATTTTTCGGTCATTACTCCTGACTGGCTGTAGTTACACGAGAACAAAGGCTACGTCTTTATTTAAGGCACGCTTTGTTGAGCTTATCTTGCAAGTAAACCTTACAGAATCTTCCTTTTTAATTATGTATTACTTGAGCAGAACGACATTAATTTTCAATATTTCAGTGATTTCAAACAGGCAATACTACTTCGAGCTAATCCAATCGAAAGCCATCGATAATATTGGCAATTTGATATATTATTTGGGGAATGTTCATTAAGTTAAAACATCAAAAGCAATGCTCGCAAAGTGCCATATATCAGCAATAAGTGCACGTGTGACTGGCACGCTCATTAACAGCTGTCACGCGATATGTTTCATTAATTAGCGCTGTGTTTGTAACTGCGGAGTGGACCAACGAGAGTAATGCGTAAAGTATGGTGGTCGAGTTATGGTTATGTCGGTCATTCACACAGAGATGTGTCTACCAGTGTTAACATTAGCGTCCTGTCAGAATCAGTGGGACAGAGATCCCATTGAATAATTGACGTGACATGATACCGCGTGTTTGTTTTTAAAAGTAAGGATGAGTTCCGTATTACTCGTATTTAGCTTTAACTCGTCGAGTACCGGTTTTGTAGACACAATTATAGAACAATAGGTTGCGGTCACCGGTGACCGCTTGATGTTTGACAGTTTAAAGGCGCATCAATGAGTATAAAGCTGCGACCTCTACGTACCTTCATATAAAACTCATATTCTACGTTCAGAATTTTCCTAAATTTATCTAACAAAGTGCTGCCATTTGTTACGAGCTGTTGGCCCCAGAGCGGTCATTTACAAAGCGTAATGAGAACGCGTTGGTATATCTATAGCTGGGTTTAAGTATAACCTGACTTATGTAATTGGTAACCGACTAACAGGTCTTGCCCACAGGGCGTGTGAAATGAAGCCACAAATTGCTCACCACCAATTATTAATTATCCACCTTTTGGCTTAGCTCGGCTACCGGCCAAATGTCAGTCGGCTCAGTCGGCCAGTTCGTGGAAGAGTATTTAAAAGGTTCTTTAAAAATAAAAACAAAAGAGCCTGATATTTGAAACCTAATTTATAAGAAGAATATTTTTTTGTTCCACGAATCGCATAACCGTGTAAATTAAAATCCTCGTGTGTTCATGATAATCATCATAAACTTTGCAATGGATTAGCGTCGGAATGACTAAAAACGGTGCAAAGATGGACGTATTTGCCAAGTTAGTGATCGTATCTTACAGCCGTAAAAGCGAAGCTAGGAGAATGATATCATTAAACCACAGTTTATTTATTCTCATGAATAGTTTAAACATGAACTAGTCCGAGTCATGATATTTTTCGGAGTTTTAGTCGATGAGCAGCTAAATAAACTGGAATCGACACTAAATTTTCTTGCGGCACATGTGTAAAACTCAGCAGAGGCACTAAGACGCAATAAAGCTGCCACATAAAACAAATAAGGAGCAAGAAGTTAAGTAAACAAATGGTGAGTTTTATTTATATTTGAAGCTCATCAAGACTAAATATACTGAGATTTGTTTGCTCCGTTCCTAACACTTATAACTTAATTAATGGTATTGTATATTTTATGACCGTTTTATTTCTATTGAAGTATTCTCACCTCACACATTTGCAACTGAAACAATCTCCTCTCCTTCTCCATCTCGTCTGCTATTTCCGCAGGTGTCACTTCACTTCGGATGAGACCAGCCTCCTTCGCCTGGGATTTCTTTTCCTTTTCAATTTTCAGGTACTTTGACTCATAGTCTTTGGATGCTTTGTCAAACGGTCTCTTCAGATCTCCTTTCACTCCTCGGAGATCACCTTTTAGAAGACTATCGACGGGAAACATGACGATGTTATTTATATTTTGCATCTGAAACAAATAGACGAATTTTAATTTTTCATCATAATCAGATTATCATAGGTACATTTCTTTGAGATAATAAGCTAAAAGTTTTTTTTGGTAACATAAAGGATGAATAGAATTTAAACAAAAGATGTCACAGAGCCATCTGAGACTGTGCACAGTTTATCACGTTGCACAACAGCTGTATTCCTAGTCATTTAGCTGCGATGTGTTGCCATAGTTGCTTCATAAGTGTAGTTTGACAGACAAAACGCTACACGAGGTTGCAAATGCATCGCCCGAATAGGCGCCAACCTAACGTCATGAACTGAATAATGATGCCAGATTGAGAAACCTTATGTACATTTGGATGTATGAATAAGCATCAAAATTGGCCGAAGAAGAATACAAACCTTGACCTCTTTACAGAATATAATTACAAGAAAACGCACCAATATAATATTTTATGGTTACTATGCAATTACATCATAACAACTGCTTAGATAACTATTATTGTATTGTTACATGAGAAGTTAAACTAACGAGGCATGCTACTTCATTAAGAACGTCAGTCACAATAATGAGTTGAGCAGATAAAGTAATTAAACGGTTGAGAACAAAAAGTCAACACGCTATGAGACCCCATTCCCGGAGGGTCGATTATGGAATCAATGAAGCGAATGCGTCTGTGACAGACGAGACTCGGGAGGGACAAAGGGTTGAAGTATACAATGAAACCCTTCCTGAACATTGTTGCTGGTCATTGAATGTTCCGCTAATTATAACGTCACAGGAAAACTGTGGACATGTTTACGTTTAATTTATTGGCAGAAGCGAGACATCGTAAATCTTACTATGTACCTAAACGGGTTAAAGCTCCAAGTTCCAAAACGCCAACAAATAAATAACGTAAGACATGTCAGTAAATAATGTACACTACGTAACTCTGTTTGGGTAACAGTGAGGGAAAACTTGGAGGGCATTCACTGTTCAGTTTTTTTCAATTTCAACAGGTTGATGATTAACCCTTAAGGTTAACTTATTATTGCTCTACTCGGGGTACCAGTTACTGAGTAAGGGAAAAATCGTTGGTAACCACATTAAGTATTTTAATGTTATTACATAACAAGTTAAAACGACAAATATTTTTTAGTCTAAAAACCCATTATTTTCTCTGGTCACCACAAACGAGGGAACGACATCACGAACGATTTGAGGGAATTGACAACGAGTTATCAAACAATTTTATGCGCGAAAAATTCACTTTCCTCAAGGTCAATCAATTCAGTTAATATAGTATAGATTATAGTGCCGGGCAACTGCGGGTTGGAAGTGCAATCTGGCGCGATCTCGATAAAAACTCGATACTCGGACACAATGTTATCCGCACGCGATACTCCCATCGCAGCACGTCACGACCATGCTCGATTAATCGCGAAACGCTTATCTGAACGCAGAATTGAATTACTGACGAGGTTTCGCTTTCCGCGTTCTGCGAAGTTGCACAAGTGTCACGGGGTCGAATTCTAAGGGCAGCGTGAGAAAGATCGCAGACCAAAATATCATGATGATCCGAAGAAAATAAATATAATGATAGGACCCATTAAATAAATAATAATTAAACCTATAAACAGAAACAAACTACGTGAGCAATTAAGCATATTACAATATTTTATTGAAAAAGCCCTTGTTTTTGTTTTTGGAAGACCGAACCCTAGTATTTTATGAGACTAGCAGCTTCCTAATCGCACAATTAACAAACAATATCAATTACAGCTAAACAGATATTATATTGGAGTTTTTGAAGGACGAACGAAAGAAAACATTACATGACCTACGCCACCATATTATATCCGTATTACATAAAGAAGTGTAATATCATAAGTTCGTTGTGAACGTCAAAATTAATTGAAGTACAAAATAGGTGCAAAGCGTAGTTTTTACTGTACTTGTTTATGTGGTGTAACAATGATCATTGTTTGAATTGAGAGCACGTGCGATCCGTACGCTTTACTGTATTGTATGGTAATGCAAAGTCACACGCTAAAACACCAGTAATGTTGTTACTCATACCACAAAATAATTGAATGCGTTTTTCCCCACGGTGAGGTAATCGGTAACTTTAACGATTAAATCCTATAGAACAGACAGTCATCTAAATCGAACGATAGATAAACAACTAAACAAGCCTTTTGTCTGCAGTGTTTGGTAAGATGTGAACACAGACATTTTTCACAATACAACAATCGAAATCTATTAGGCGAAACTGTATATTGCGTACCAATAAACAAACCAAGACACCATAATATGTCGACAAAGAGGCAAATGACCAAATATTTTTTTTAAGTAAAACAATCATTTTATTGGTTTTCAAAATATGTATTGCGTAACGACTCTGAATCGCGTACGGTAATTGAAAATTGAAACCAATACCTGCCGGCTGCCTGCAAAGGCAATATTTTTTATGAATGACAAGAACATTGGAACCTCATTTCAATATTGTTTGATTTCGATAAGCCTTGTCGATTCCGATAAATATTTATTTTTATCTGCAGATATCAGATATTCAGAAATCATCATTTTCATCGGAGAAGTGATTTTTTACGGCAATCCTTTTGCATACGCACTACTGTTTAGCATACAAATGGCTAAGTAAAATTAAGATTCCCAGAAAGACGGTTGTTTACACTGTAAATGTACAGTAAACTTTACAGTGCCTTCATGTGTCTAAATGCCATCTTAAACGTCTTCGTTAAGAGATACCAACAGGTCAACAGCTTAAAATAATACAATTTTTACATCAAAGTATAAAATCATGTTTTATGGCTAAGGGATTTTTTTTAAGGGGCAAAAATGGGTAGGTAAGTTAATTTTTACATAGAACAACTACTTTCGACAGAACGATATTTAATTAAAATACAATCAACAAGCTAAAACAAAACAGAATGCAGGTGTAATTTAACAAATATAAGTTTAACAAAATTAATTTACTAGGTAACCGGTGAAGAAAAGTTCGAATACTAATTTCATGAATATTTCGATTTAATTTAAACTAGCACGCCACACAGTTCCAACTTCTGTTGATTGCATCTGATGTTGTTATGTTGATATGTTATATGGAATCAAAATTAAATTAATGCTTCACCAACAATTCTAAGATTCATTTAGCACAATATTTTCACAAGTATCCGTTGAATGTACATTGTGTATATAAATAGAGCTACGGAACTGTAATATTTCTTGTAATATTCCATTTTCATGGAATTCTATGGAACATTTACCAGTTTGTAGAAAACCTATTTTTGTCAAATCAAGAACAAGACTATCGTAGTATTGATGATTTTAATTTAATTCCTGAAATCACATGACTAACATAACAAGGTGTAAGGACTATAAGTCCATTATTTAAGGGTTCGTTAATAAATTAATTATTTATAGGACTCCGCACCGCTTTAGTTGATCAAATATTTAAAGGTGAAAACAACGAGTATTAGGTACATTAGAAATAAATTATTTTCAAATGAAGCAAATGAACGATGTTTGTAATTAAAATAAAACGATGCTGTCGGAGAGTCGGTATGTGAATATTCTGTGCTCTGTCTAGAAAACCGACTGTAATAAAACGAACGAATATTATTATCGTGTTCAGAATGCCTGAATTGCAAAATCTTTCAATTGTTTCTCGTGAACCACGCCCCTGTAATGTAAACACTAAACACTATCACATCATTCGAATGGAATCCACATCAAGACGATATCTGTGTTAATGTTGGATCATAAACCACGCAAAATGTTCATAAAAGATGATTGTAGAAGCAAGTATGCGAACAGACTAGATGAATAGCCCACCTAAGGCGACTTTATTCATACACACACTGACACACACAAGTCATACATTATTATGATTACTGTAACAGACACAATTCGGAGTGGTAAACGGAGCGGAGAGCGGCAATCTCCTCATGCGAAACACGACAAGTTGTCGAGTCATCGGTGAGTAATTCCAGACAAGTTTTACTTCGAAACGATGCAGTTTCATATAACCCATAAAAAGTATCACATAAAAACAAGCGCTTAAGAAAAAGATCCAGGTGTTCAGTGATTAGAAAATGGACAAGGCTTCATACGCATTGTTATCGTTTGAAGCCATAGAGGAATAATATGCGTGTGCAGGCATAAATAAATGGTGACAACTTGTTATCCTATTGTCCACGTGAACTAAACTACGTTACATAATGTATTTCAAAGTCATCGTCTCACTAAATGACGGTTATGAACATAATCATCTCTAACCTATACCAAAAAAATTCAATATAACTTGGTACCAATGAATAAATCGAATACAAACGGCTTTCAATTGTAATTCAAACTCAAACGCTTCGGAAGCATTTGAGAAAAGCTTATCTTAATTCAAACTGAAATACCAATATTTTACAGATTTCTTTCGGGAAGCCTTAAATGATAACATCATAAAACGAATCTAGTTATTACTTTAGATGCTATTTCCAACATTTTATATATTTTCACAAGAAAATATAACTTTACACATGATCAGGGAGTTATGAGGAAGGACAAAGGAGCAACATGTCAAGGGCAGGTCGAGGATTCTGCGCAATGGAGTTGGGTGTTCGGCACGTATAACAAGAATTGCAGAATTGGAGCGAGGTTGGACCCTGGTTTAACAGTAAATTTGAAATTTGTACCTCCGGGCTTATATTTATTAACAAACGTTTATCTAAAGAAAACGTACTATTATTAGACGCACCTAAATTGATTTTTGCGATGTCTTCTATGAACGTAATGTAAACGTCTATTGGTATTTTTCTATGAAAATTAAATCAGTTATGTTAGCAATTACTGCGCCCTATTTACGTTTGTAGCTAGTAGAACGAATGTAAATAAGCTTATTAGTAAAGTGTAATTATAACCACGAAGTAAACTGTAAACGTTTCACAAAACAGGATTTGGTTTACGAATTTAACGATGCAACATCAACCGAATTTACCGACTAGCAACATTAGCCAGGTCGAGTCATCACCCTGACCCATTTACAAGCAAATCTGCGGTGCGCCTACGCACCGGTATCTGCGTCAACCGACAGTTATCGCATGTTACAATGGACATTTAAATATTTAACAGTATCACCTTCCAAGAAGGACGATTCCTCAAATTGATAACAAGGAGATCCCATTACAATACTTGAGGAAGTCTATGTATTATGTAACGATATAGTGTTATGTTTTGAAGTTAATTTAAGTTTCGAATAACGTAACTTCAATTCAGGGTATTCAAATATATATAAACATTTACGAAGGTACAATTTACAATAGACATTGTATGGTCCAGAACAGATTACAATACTATTAATGTATTAATGTGGTGTGGACATAACATCAATTATGACAGTAGGATAGATTAATGTCATCCTGATAATAAATTGAATACAATGCTCCATTACCAAGACGATAACGACGACGGGAGCGTTCAATAATTTCCATCAGCACAGTAGTATGCGTAATGCAGGCATTCCAATAGTTTAATGTAACGAAACAATGCATTTAAACCTATCAAACCAAAAATATAAAATGGTCTGTATTTAAAAATTAAAACATCAATCCGAGGCTACCGGACCGGTAAATAAAGCAAAAGAAATATTAATCTGGAAGTTGGAATTGATTCAGGGAAATCGTCATCGAGAAGCAATAAATCAGTAATGAAACTGTCGCCAATTTTCAATTAATATCGAGTTGTGACGTATAAACGAGCCTATTCCGTCTGCGGACTTATATTCAAGTCTCGCTCCCTCTTCATAACGAGATGTTTGCGAGACATCCGCCGCAGGCTCCCTCAATACTATAATTTCCGCTCGCTGTTCTGACGGATTCTGATTACATTGAGATCGAGGCTTGATGAACGACTTAATATTCTTGTATAAATTCGCACTTTGTCAACCACAGAAAGTTGGTGATGAGTTGAACACTTTATCGTAATCGTAAATATCAGGCAAAACAAAATCGCTGTAACAGCTACTTAATCTACCATTCTACAAAACAGGAATCTTACTATCGAAAGGGAAATTTAGTTTTCACATATATTTCATCCTTAATAGCACCAAGTTAATAGAAAATACTCGCTAGTATTTTCTTTACAAGAAAGTTATGGAAGTTTATGACATACGTGCGACAGTTAAACTTTCTACCATTTACCACAAGTTCAATGTTCCAAATCACGTGTTCACTTAGGCTACAGAGATTGATTTTAAAAGATTGTGGTTAGTTTTCTTACATCTTGATAACCTGTCTATGGAAGTACGCAGTAAAGTGATATTAAAAGTGAAAGCTTAAACCTAGTCATCACCACTTTCACCATTAAGGATATGAGGTCTACTAATATTATTTCATTCATTCATATTCAAAAATATGATTTTACGGTATTCAAATTATATGTAAAACATTTTAGCTGGTAAATATGTTATGGCGGTCGATGACCGTATTAGCTACCGTTTCGTGCAAACATAGCTAACATACAAACTGGGACACTGTTATGATGTGAACTGGAAATTGTTTTTTCTTTAATATCATATTTGTTTAATGACATCGACTGAATACGGAAAATCAATTGTACGTACTAGAATATCTATTTGTGATAGTTTAATTGTTTCACGAAACTGTTTACAATTTATTGATCGTTCACCAGTATGACAAAACACTTTTTATTCAAATAACTACAATTGTCTAATATATCTTCAGTTGAATGACTTCTATGAAACCAAACTGCATATTGAATGCAATGAAGCAAATAGTAGCTAATTAGAGAACGAACTAATTTCTTTTGCGTAAACTACTACATATGCAGAATTTTCTCTTATGCTGGTTAATCGTTTCAAAAGAAAGTTAGTCTACTAAATCTGCATATAGATTAAATTTTGAATAACTGTATGTAACTGTTTTGAAAAAAAAAGATATCTCATTTGAACTAGATTCAGTATTATCAACACCGAAAAATACAATCCTCTCTACGATAGGTCAATATCACATATTCACATGTTTCATTTCGCATATTTACAAACAGAACTTCTTTCAAAGAGTGCGAGACAATTGACATTGAAACGATTATAACATCAAAACAAACGAATCATAATAAAAATAATCAGGGAAGAATTACGTAAGATTTTAAAACTTACCAATGTCTTCATGAGTGCAGATAGTTCTTTGGTGACAACAGCGAATTTGAAGAATGCAGCTCCGATATCTGGCTCCGAATCTTTACTGAGAGCGTTTCCTCCGAGACGCTCCAGCGCCCGGGAAAGATACATCTCATTGTCCACGTGAGCTACAAGAAAATAAAGCAGTTATAGAATGTAACTAATATTACCAATCAATTTAAGTAGGGACATGATTTAAAACGCTACCTACAAAGAAATTAAAATTATTCTAATAAATGACCCAATAACATAATTTACTGAGTAAATGAACTGAAAGGAACACTCAATAGTTTAAACGGATAAAATTTCAGGTAATTAAATTAACTACGTCAACAATTTTCCTTCCATGAAAAATTCTGTTTCACAGTTTCTATGTTGTTCGACAAAAACCCGTCGTATCTTCTCTAGCCGCCGGAGGTTTCTCTAGCAGTCGGATTTACCCGGATGCTATAAAGAGAAGCGCTTGTAAAAGTTAGCTGCGCTTAACTGCAGCTTATTTTTATTCGCCAATCTCGTGAGTAGGTACTTCGCACAGTCGTACTAGTTAATTCACTAAAGCTATTTCTAATTTCCAACTGAAATCGAAATTTTACAAGAGGTTATTATTTAGACATAACAGTAACGTAACAGCAAGAATGTCCAGTACCGAGATGTTGTATGACTATTGATGACAGAACTGTTAACTAGTAACTAGTTAACTGTTACCGCCTAAAATTCGAGGTCGTTTTAAATCAGTGATCATGGGTCCAGTTTAAAATAAACACTAAATAAAGACATGGAACTGATGAGCCTCAGAGATCCGTGTCGCGGCCCACATTTACCTAGCTCAATCCCGCCGACGCTTTTTGAATATTAAATGGTGTAGCAAGCAGACCTCACGCCATTCAATTTCTCCGCGAAGCTCTTCTTTAACCTTCCACTTAATATGAGGTTTACATAGCCTCGAGCGGGGTTTCCGTCAAACCAGTCGCCTAAATTGCCAATAACAAGGGATTTTCAACATAAAACGAAAGTGATCGCGTGACTTGTAAAACATAATTGAAGTAGGTGAATGCGTGAACTAAACGAAACTGAAAAAGCAAACGGTTACAAAGATATTCCTTATGTATACAGTATGTATTGATAAAATCTTGCCGTTAGCAGTGTGAAAAGTAAGCTACAAAATGCTGACCAAAACATTAACGCCGGTGAATAGTTGGACACATTCCAAGAACACGTCCTTCGACATCCATTAAGGTTTTACAATAAGTGCTTACATGTTTGGTTCTGTGAATTTTAAATTAAAAGGCAAAACATAGAATTGATAGAAGACAAATTAAACCGTAATTACTCTTTCAATTTCTGAGAAATAAACATTGAGACCCAATCTTCCCAAAACCTAAACACTGCATCATTGTGTAGGAATGTTGGTGTTTTTGATTGGTTGTTTTTGCGAGCGCGTGCTCACAGAGCGCACGACCTTGTCAGCTGCGCCAGCGCACAATCCGAACTCGCACGACCAGTTCCGAGCGTTTGGCTTCATGCGGGCTACGGCACGGTGCTAAACTCGACCACAATAAACAAACCCTAGCACGCGATGGAATTGCACTCAACAAACCTGACTTATTACAACTTAGAATAAAACCAAAACGCTATTTATGAAACGCGGCAGCGAACGGCGGCAGCTTGCAAAGAACTTACGAGCCCTTAAGTGCATTTAATCGCGACCGCGATTCTCTACGAGACCACGACGGCGAGTAGACGTGCCTGAATTGCAATATTTATTTTTATTCATGTAAACATTTAGTCAATAAAGTATTGACCTAGATTATACAACATTTAGTAAATTTTGTTTAGTTTGTAATACACTATGTTACATAATTAAACGCAAACAATGGCTAACATAGAAAATAGCCCTTTCAATCGGAGTTCGAAAACGTGTCGCAGCCCTCCCAGCACTCCGCAACCCGCAGAACATGCCGCCGAAGAGACCTTGGAAGCACTCTCGACCAGTGACATTAAGGGTTGGATGGTGACAATAGAAAAGGCTCTCAATGATGTGTGCCAGATTGCTGCAGAGGGTAAGTTGAACTCTGAGCAAAAACTTAATATTAACACTCTGGCACGAAGGGTCGGAAATGGAGTCTCCCAAATGGCGATCCACTATCAGACCTTAAAACAAAGGGCTTGCCAGATAAAAACATCTCTGGAAGCCTTAAGAGAAAAGGAGGACCTTGCTGCTTGCCTGAACGACTTTAAAAAGTCAATTAAGGAGTCAATCCAAGAAAATTGCAGTAAACCTGTGGCTCAAAATATGTCCTTTGCTGATATATTAAAGACGAACAAATCAAGTGTCCTGCGACCCTCTAATTTGAAGTCAATCGCAATTTATCCGAACGATGCACTAAAATCCAGTGACGAAACCAAAACGCTCGTGCAAAAGATTATTAATCCAGAGCAAATGAAATTGCACGTTAGGGGTATGAGAAAAACAAGGAACGGAGGTGTAATAATTAGCACCGAATCAAACGAGGACATTGAAAAACTCCGTCGATCAAGCCAGCTGACCAGTTCAGGCCTGAAAGTCGAAGAACCTCACAAAAGAAGGCCGCGAATAATAGTAGTCGGCGTGCCCGCAGCTCTTCGAGACCAAGAGGTGTTCGATTCAATTTACGAGCAGAACCTGGCCGATAAGATGCCTAATATGTCGCGAGAATCATTCCTGTCTTGCATCAAGTTAAGCCACAAGTCAGGGAAAAAAGACGCGCCCACATGCAACTTTATAATAGAAGTCCCAGCCAATGTAAGGAAAGCTCTCATAAATCAGGAGAGAATCTATATCAACTGGACTTCCTGCCCTGTACGTGACTTCACTCTCGTAACCCGATGCTTTAAATGTCAGCAATATGGGCATGCTGCAAAAACTTGTCGCGAAGTTACATGCACATGCGGACATTGTGGAGAACAAGGGCATGAGACTAAAGACTGCACTAAGAAGGACAAGCCGCCAAAATGTGCAACATGCTCCCGGTTCAAAAAGCCAAGCAGTCACAAAACTGGGGACCTTGAATGCCCGGCAAAGAAGACAGCAGAAACGAGGTACATTAACTCTATTGACTATAATGAGGGCGCCTAAGAGCGCCACCTTTTATATTATCAGTAGCACTAGTAATATTTAGATAGTTTAATTTTATTTTCTATTGATTGATTAATATTTTTGTAATTTATATGGCTAATCAATTGATTAATGATCTCGATGACAATGCAGTATATTACTCAAAAGTTTCTGAAACAGAAAAATGCAGACATTATCTCGCCGATTTCAAAAGTCCTTTAACAATACTAACTCAAAATATTCGCAGCATATATAAAAACATTGATAGTCTAAGTATCTTTCTGCAAAGATTAAAGTCACAGTGCGATATCATTGTACTAACAGAATGTTGGCTTTCAAATAAAAATGGGATTATGCCTATATTACCAGGTTACAATTACATTAGCTCTACACTAAATTTTAACCAGAATGATGGAATCGTAATATATACAAAACAATCTCTCCATTTTTCGATCGAAGAGCCAACAAACCTGGAATTTAATTGTATTATTATTAAAATAGGCTCTGAAATAGCAATCGTGTCAATCTATAGATCTCCTTCCATCAGAAATTTAGATAAATTTAATAAGTCATTAGATAATATTCTACAAAATTTGTCATCCTTTCCAACTGTCATCATAATTGGCGACCTAAATATTAATATAAATTCTGATAACATTGACGCAGGTACTCAAGACTACCTAAACCTTTGTGCATATCATGGCATTTTACCTTCACACACATTTCCAACTCATCAAAGTGGGTCATGTTTGGATCACGTCATGCTAAAAACTAGACTTCCGTGTTTAACACTTGTTACTAACTCAACAATCACAGACCATTCCGCAATTTTGCTTACGCTTGAATTAAATCGGACTCAACATTTTTCGCGTCCGCAGCAAAAATCGCGACTCAATATGATTAATCTGGGACGTGATTTATGCAATATTGACTTTAGTCCAGTTTTTGATTCTGCTGATGCTGACGAATCAATGGATTATGTTATTAAACATGTACAACTATCTATCTTAAATAATACTAACACAATAACCTTAAGTAAGAAAAATTGCACCATAAAACCGTGGATAACGGAGGGACTTGTCAGGTGTATACGACACCGCGATAGACTACACAGAAAAGCCAAACAAAACCCTAATAACTTAATTATCCAGACAACATATAAAAGATATCGTAATTTCTGCAATAACCTCTTAAAACGTATAAAAAATGAATACGACAAATCACAAATAGCTCAATCCGGAAACAATCCCAAACAACTGTGGAAATATATTAAGTCAGTCACATTCATGACGAAGCAAAATAATTGTGACACTGATTTATTGCAAACGGATCAAACCCCGCTATCATCAGCTAACAACGCAAATAGTTTCTTTGCTAATATTGGTGTGAGGCTAGCGGAAAACATTCAAAGACAGTGTTATAATGACCTCAATACTACGATACCATCTCCGAGGCCATGTATTGGTAGTGGAAAGTCTTTTGTTTTACTAGAACCGGACGAAAGTGAAGTAGAACGAATTATTATATCTTTAAAAAATAGTCCTGTGACAGGGTGGGATAATATCAGCACTAATATACTAAAAACCTTTAGGAACATACTAATACCGCCACTAACTCATATTTTTAAAATTTGCTTTTCTAGTGGTACATTTCCTAAATGCCTCAAGAAAGCAGTAGTAATCCCTATCCATAAATCTGGTACAAAGGACTTGGTAAATAATTATCGGCCTATTTCTATATTGCCGTCAATCTCTAAAGTTCTTGAGAAAATTATAAATAATAGACTAGTCTCGTATCTCGAAAATAACTCCCTTATATCTAACAAGCAATTCGGCTTTAGAGCCAAATTATCGACAGCTGATGCAGTACATACATTAACTGACTATGTATCAGGAGAGCTTGGACAAAGTAAGCAAGTAATGGGAATTTTCCTTGATTTAGCAAAAGCTTTTGATACGGTATCTATCCCATTGCTACTAGACAAACTGGAGGGGTTGGGAATAAGAGGGACACAGTTGGAACTTTTTAGAGACTACTTGCGGGATAGACGGCAATGTGTAAAAATAGGCAACGTCATTAGTTCCGAATTACTGCTACCGCTATATGGAATTCCACAAGGGAGCGTACTCGGAGGAACCCTATTTCTGGTATACATAAATGACCTATGTAACCTCAAACTACAGTGTGGCACTATTGTATCATATGCGGATGACACTGCTCTGCTGTTTTCAGCAGGTTCTCTTACAGAAGTTCAAAGCTGTGCACAGCAAGGGTTTGATGTCGTAAATAATTGGCTTAAAATAAATCTACTAACAATAAATACTGATAAGACAAAATTTATAAAATTTAATATGCGTAAACCTCTAGCACGTAATGAATTTCACTTGTATGCGCATAAATCAGAATGCTCAATCGTGACTAACGCTTGTACCTGTCCGGAAATTGTAATAACAGATAACATTAAGTATCTAGGAGTTATTCTAGATGAAACCCTTTCCTTTAAACAACATATCGCTGCATTAACATCTAGAGTTCGGAAATTGATATTTGTTTTTAAAAAATTGCGGCTTATTGGTGATCACAAGTTAATTATTCAAATTTATAAAGCCCTGTGTCAATCGATAATCCAATACTGCATTACTTCTTGGGGCGGAAGTGGAAAAACATTGATACTTCCAATCGAACGAGCGCAAAGAGCCATCTTGAAAGTCGCCACGCACAGACCGTACCGCTACCCCACAGGCTTACTGTATGAGTCTAGTAAAGTGCTGACAGTGCGACAATTATTCATACTATCCACTGTACTAAAACAGCATACTACACTTACATATGACGCTAACCTCACTAACGCCAAGAGACGGAAAGATATTGTCTGTACTGCTAGCTATGAATCAAAGTACGTATTTACACATAGATTTTTTGCATTTTTAGGGCCATATCTGTACAATAAAATTAATAAAGAAACCTTGGTTTACAATGTAAATTACACCAGAGCAAAACAGCGCATTTCTCAGTATCTACTATCATTAAGTTATGAAAAAAGCGAGGATTTGTTGATTGTCATGAAATAAATAATATATAGATATAAATAGATAATAATTATTTTAATAAATGCAAGTATAAAGTTAGTGTTTCCTAACTTATGTATACATATGTAGGTTTTGTAATTTTTGGTGACTGTAAAAATAATATTGTTAAGGCTTAGTTATATTATCCTAATGTATATTGCACGCGACCACAAAGCCTGTGGTACAGATTTAATTCTATACAGGCATTGGATTGTAACCTACCTAGAATAGTTAAATAATAAGCTTTGATTAAGTACATATATGTGAACAAAATGGAAATAAATATATTTGTTTGTTTGTTTGTTGTTTGTTTGTAATCTCATTCAGGTTATTTAAACAGATGCGCTCTCAGTAGTTGTGTAATGTGGTAGTTTATCATTCCAAGTTTGGGCATCCTACAACCTTCAAGTTTGAATGAGGTGTTAAGGTTTATAAAATCAAAGACTACAACATTGTAAGTACGAATGAAATATGAATAACGTGCTTAATTGAGGAAAAGCTAGCGCACACTAATATACTCACATGATGTGTTGTACACAATCAAGATTCATAATGCAGTTACAAACAACAGGAAATTGTGGCAGGTGTCGGGTGCTCCCCTACGATATATCAAGTCCGAAACAAATAATCTAATATTTCCAGTTATAACGTGGTCAGCGAAACCAGACGTTCGACCTACTTTCCTTGACAAGTCGCACATGAAGGGAAATTCATTCGTGACCGGCCACCGCTTCTCGATTCGGTTTATATTTCAATCTCTATTTGTTCAAATGCAGAAACCGAGTTTAAAATTGTTTTACTATATTTAAGTCGGCTTCGAAAACGGTGGTTACGGAATTCATTTCTGGTATAGTTTCTTGGTACGAATGGATTCCTCGGTAGATGTGTGGATACCCAAGAAACTTCTTAAATCGTTAAAGAAACTTCGCAAGATTGTAAAATAACAGTGGTAAAGGTAACTATCAAAAATCATAATAAGTAAAAAAATATATGAAAGGCTTTTAATCTTTTGAAAATGAATGGTTCTGCACTTTTTCAGTTCATACGGTGAGGATTTTAATGCTGGTTCTATCCTCTTACAGTCGTTTACTTAGGTTCATTTCACAAATCATGAATTGCTGTGGTCATTAAAATCTGCGCAAGTACAATTTTGAGGCGACTGCACAGTTTTTATAGCTTTCATAATATATTAAAGACGCGCTCTTTAAAAATTTTCGTTTTTAGTCTGAGGAAGTAAATGCGTCAGAGTAGGAAGAAGACTTATTAAGTGCTCGCGTAGATAATAAATCAGTCTTAAATTATATAACAAGTGAATGGAAGTGTTTACAAATAATGCATTAATGTCTGTCTGCAAGCACTATTTGTTGCGATATTTGGGTCATTCTAGTTCAGCGGGTTGAACGGCCTTTCGTCCTAGCAAGCCGGTTTTGTGCTCAGTCTAAGCTATGCATTGGAGTTTTCTATACAAATGAATATTGAATAGCTACATAGACATTTATTTTTTAAGGGACCATATAATTAACTCGTATTCTATGATCTTTATTGCATATTAACTGCCGAATATGTTTATTTACTATAGTTTCCTTTGGAAGTATAGTAACGAAATGAATTTTATTTTTAAAGTTACCAAACATGCATCGAATATCTCGTCTATTCCAGTCTGCTATTCATACCGTATACTTCCTCTATTTCTATTTTTAATCGAGTCTCGTTCCGTGTCGCCTGTAAAACGTGCCACTACAGATGGGAATACAAATAAACTCTTCGGAAAGTATATTGTCCGGTTACCGTCTGTTCCGCACTAAAAGAGAGCATTATTATCTTTCGTCCCACTATAATAAAACATGGAGGAACATTTAATCTGCTCGTATAGCTAGAAACTTTTAAATTCTTATCACTTTGGCAAATTATTTAACTACAGTGCATCAAATATTTATTTTGGAAACAAATGTCCTTCTTTATATTATTATACACTCACCATTTCCAGAATTGTGTATTGCTTTTATCGCCTTTTTCAACTTCGTTAGGCCATCTCGGTCGAAATCCAACGTCTGAAACAAGATAAAGAAAAATAAATTACCACGGTCGTCCATTCGGCAGCCCAATATTTTTATGAAGAGAATAGTCCGTTACGATTGCAACAGTGGATTCGCTCAAAACTTTTTTACGGGGACAAGCTGTCGACGGCATAAAGACTCGTTTACAATAGGAGCCACGAGCCATTCAACTCTGTTTGGGAGCACAGCGAACATCTGTCGCCCCAGCCGGCGATTAATCAATGGTCCCCCTGAATTAAGCAATCGGCTCATACCAAAATAAAACGCGCAACGATTCAGTGCACCTTTACTTTGATTCGATTTGTTCTTTTGCAGTCGACTTGATTAACGTTGATACAGTATGAAAATAAAACAGTTACCTAATTCGGAGTCAATGACCTTTAACTAATAGTTATTATTAAGAAAGCAATTCTCTTATAACAATTGCCACTTCGATATGATAAATGTATGGATGAATGGATATTTGTAATTTATAAACAATACTTAAGGTGTTTATAATTAGTCACGGTCGGAAACATTACACATGTTATCGATGTCAGTTGTTTAAATTAGATCATAACACCTGGCTACTGGGCAAGGGGAAATCGAGGCGAGTGATACTTACTACGAAATTGCAACGTCATGCAACGGTTTTGGTGAACGGAATAGCTTACGGCATTCACATAGGACAGAAAACGACAATTTAGAATACAATTAAATACTAAAGATAAATTAGCGTCTTAAGAGAAAAGCCCTAGCTGTCATCATTCCGCTAGCGATAACGAAAGTTCTTCCGTTATCTTATTTTTACAGCACACACAGTTTAACTGGTTCGATTGAGTTTCGCAGACGATTGCGCAGCTTTACAATATGACGTCCACTTAAACGCCCATAACAATACGTAACTTACATAATCCGCATTTGTCCAAACATCAGATGATAAGTATGAGATAACAGAACAATGAGAATATTCGCTTTCTTGCTCGTGACCAACGACGCATGAAAAGTTGCGTAAACCACGTCATCAGAGGTACAAAACAAACGTAAATCATGTAATCACTATTACTATAATATCAAATAATAATAGCCCTAAAATGCATCGTCACAATTATAATACTTATAGCAATTTCCATTCGGGTTACATCACGACGGCGACGATCTCTTTCTTTTGTACAGTGCTGCATAGTAACAATGGTTGGAACCTGCATTTTAATACGCATAAGATAAAATCTAAAAGCCTGCAGGCTTGCTTTAACATATCACGACATCTATTTTTAAACCTCGTGCCTTTAACCTTCTGCACACACCTGCTAGTACTTAAGTAATCTCCTTCCTTCACTTTAACTAACTAATTTGATCAGAGCAGGTTGCTAAAGAAAGTCCCTACTTCTTTATTAGGATAAGAACCCTGTAATACAAGTATTCCAAGGGTAGCAATCCGTAAAAGCCACCCATTGAAGGAAACTAAACGACCTTTTATAACATAATCCGCCTTACACATAATTGCGTCGAGTCTATTTAAATAGGGACAAGAGAGATAATCCTATTAACTATTTTACTAAAACGGTTAGTGTACACGAACAATGTAACCGTCGGAGCTAGTCAAGGTACGTTTATAGTTATTCACAGACAACAGACAACGCCTCCTTTGTTCTGTCTTCTAACAGATCGAACTATCACCTCTACACGGCTCTACGCTTTATGCTCCACAGAGGATTTCTCTAAATGGGTCACGTCGCTTATACGAGTACCTACGAGTATTATGTATCATATAATATAGTTTTTCTCTTATGACACTAGTTATACCTATCAATAAGGTAAGATTTTGGGCATCACTACCTATTATTTAATTTCGTTTTCATTGTATGCCCCTATGTTAAAATTTTGTTTGTGATTAACAGTAACATATGTGTGACATTCCCAAAATTAAGTACGTAATAAACAGCTGTTTAAAATAGGTCGTGTAATTAAAACGTCATTCAGTCGCATCTGTACAGTTTACGGTAAAAGCAGAACAGTGATTGCTGTAGCAGTGTGCGTAGGTTTTCAGCAAAATGATGGTAGAGTGATTCATCTGTGTTATTACTTAATTTAAATGTTTTGTTACTTGTAAAGTTGTAACCACTATAGTATGCGTCATACACGGACGTCTCTTCATTATTATTTTTGTATTGAATACTGATTGTAAGCAACTTATACCCAGAAGCGTTTATTCTATTAAGTATTTACCTTCCCTAATGTGTGTGAATTTGCAATATTATTGGACGTGCTTACATATAAGGCAGGCGAGTCGTGAAATTTGACAGAACTTGTTTTTGTTAGGACACTTAGTTGCAGAAAAGTTGCCCCCAGTCAATGGAACCCTTCGTCTCCAACAGCGAAAGTGGTTAACCTTGTGTATTTATCCACAAGCTGGTAATGCCGATCGAAGGTTCTTCCAAGTTAGGCAAAACGTCTAGAAAGTAATACAATATTTTGCATCGACTAGACTTAAAGTAGAGAAAAAGCATTAATTCGTCACTTTCTGTCTAGGTTTAGAAGTTGTATAGATACACTGCAAAATGCTCCAATTTGTCTCGACAAAACTAACTATAAAATGTCAGAAATATACTATAAGCTGTATTCTATTAGCTACGATAATTTATTTTCTAGGTTTTTTTTTTATCCGAAACATTGATAGGAATAGGAAGTCGAAAACATGTTACCGATCATAGCAACAACGCCCAATAATTAGGTTTCTGTTTACTGTATCGGATAACCAAAACATGAACAGTGATCTTTAAGCATGTGCGTTTATCCAGAAGGTTTGTAAACACATCGTGTTTCAAATTAACACATTAACATGTTGGGTGCCTCTTACGCTCCATTAGGTCACACCTCATGGATGAACCCATTTACTTTGTTTGAACTTCCAATGCCTGGAAACCTAAAGGCCTAAAATTTCAGACACGCCTAACCACGAGTTAAATTAAGAACAATATTATGTTTATTGCTTAAGTTGTTCGGATACACAGCAATGTCGCTGCCAAGCAGCAGGTGTAAGTTCAGCGTTGGCACGGGTACAACTTTTATCTTCTACATTTATTGCAAAGGAACTGCGACACGGAAAGTATTGTCGAGGCAAATTATGCAGGACCATTGAGTTCTACTGAATCTAGCAAGTTTTGTTGTAGATATAAAAACAGTATTAAACGAACCTGTTCTTCAGTAGGTCACAAAATCGCAAGCGCAAACACATCTCGCTTCCCATTACTTTTTTATAAGTATTACGTTGCATGCATTGCGGTCGGTTACTCATTCTTGACTGTGACTTTCATACTAATTAATTATCTAACCAGTTATACACTCATGTAGTATTATACTATTAAAATGTAATAAAGATTGTTGCGTAGTGTTGACCTCAGATGTCGAGTCATTATTATATTGCTTGAACGATTTCAATTTAATAACTTGGTGTCAAATTACTTACCTACTTCCCAAAAATATTACTATGGTTTTTTTAAGGGGGGAAAATCATCGAATGACTTCTCCCGCCTGGGTGAGGCGGGAGTGTAAGACTCTTACTGACTAAAAACCACCCCGTACCTTCTCCTGCATTTCGAGCCGGAGCCCCGGTAACCCGTTAGGTTCTCCGCGACTCCGAATCGGCATCAACCCTATTGGGCCCCATCCGATGCGATGGTTGACTCCTTTGTTTAACAGACATCAGTTGTTATTAAACCCCATCCATTCAACTATTTTCGTGAAGTGTTCATACTTCACGTAAAATAGTTTATATTGTATAGTGCATAATTGTTATTACAGCAATCGATCATAAACAAATTTTGTGTGTAATAGTACACCCACACTGATTTAAAGAGAAAGTTCATTACAAAATGTACCTACTACGAGCACGAGCACGAGTAAGCACAAGCAGGTACTTTCGCTTTATCACATCTGATCAAGGAACACCACATGTTATTTACTGTTCGATAGGCACGCGTATTTTTCCTTTTTAGTTCGAATGACTGACTTCACACTCACCTTTACAAATCATTATATTTACCTACTTACTAAAATAAATAAGTGGTCTAGAAATAAAAGAAAAGTCATATAGAGGTAATAATTCAGATAAATGTATTGATAAGGTTACTCGAGACAAAAATAGGTTTGTTGAGAAAATTGTTCTCCGCAGACTACACATACACGTTACCATCTTCAATAGTCAAGTCATAAAGGAAATGAGAAAGCAGAGTTGATGACACACTTACTATCGCAGTCTATGTTCAATGTATATCTCTACAAGAATATATTCAAGGTGAACATATATAAATGTGCTTTGCACAATCCTTTCCGATTTCCCAAAAGAAAGAGACGAATAATGCACGGAGAAGTTTTATCATCTTCACAGCTTTTGTCTTTAAAACAGTTCCATTCGAACAAAGACATCTTTAAAAGATGTTAATTCCTTTTATGTTTTAAACAATAACGTACTGCAATTGGTTTCTCCTAATTTGTTTTGCTTCATGTATTTCTTAAACATTCATAATGTAATTCCATGTCCCAGTCCGTCGGTCCTTGTAGAGAATTTTATTATCGCTTTCTGTTGTTTGGTGGGTGTCTACAGCGTATTCGTATTGTATTTTACATTAAATAGGTACTTATTGTGACTAGCTTGAGGTAAACGACCGTCCTCTTCGGTGTTCTATAATCACAGTTGGCCGGTTTTGCTGCATATTTATTACATCTGTTTTACTAGTTTCGATTCTGCCTTCTCTGAAGTCATTCTTCGTTGAACACATCGTGGGCTGATTTACTTTGGTGAATACAATTTATTATAACCTGACATACCTAAATGATCACGTTCCAATTCCGACGCTTGTTAAGCAGAACATTTAATATTCAAAAAGTATCTCTATTCAAAATATGAAATTAGTTTTTCAGACTCCCCTGACAGGTCTTGAGTAGCTTGATAGCATAATATACATCTGTGTGCATGCTTATCCATAACTCATGTGGAAGGGTTAAAAGCACCTTTTGATAGAAACTTTTAAAGTATAGAAACCTGCCGTGCTCAAGTGCCCGTAACTCTATCGCGGAGGGTCTGAAGGGGACGAGTCTAATGCATGCTGCTCTACCGGCATGCATAATCGTGTCTGCATTGCTGTAGATTAAACTGCGCCATTATTGTTAGGAAACTAGTTACTAGATTATGGATTTATGACTTCGTTTGGAACATGGCTTTC